GGGGGGGGCGATCGCCCCCCCTGTCGTCTATAGATAGCCGCCTGAAAGGTAGGCAATTTGCACCACAAAACCCGTGTATGTAGGCAACCGACAGTACATCGCCCCCCCTGTCAGCCGGACCTTAATCCGCCACTGCTGGGTCGTGGTACTCGTGGTGGTGTCGGTCAGCGAGCCCAACTCGACAGCAAGAAGCGCGCCGCGCCTGGTCAGGGAAGGGGAGTGAGGCGCATCAGCAGCATCAGGAGAACCTTTCAGACACGGCTGATAAAATTTCAAGATATCGGTGCAGAGGGTGGGGATCGTGGGGGAGTGGGAGATGAGAAGGGGGAAGGAGGGGGGGGGGTGCTTTTGACTGCGCTCTGCTGTGACGGCGCCATGGACGACGCGCCTCTTTTGCTCGGCGGCAACTTTTGCTGCTCTCGCCAAAGGTGCCGGCGGCGGCGGGGCGCGGCGACCCGTGGCGACCCTTCTGTGCTCTTTTGAGAGGATGCGCCACCCGCCGCCACACCCGACACCCGCACATTCACGGTGGGGAGGGGCGTGGTGTGGCTTCACACCTTTTCCTCTCCAGGGGCGCGAGGGCGTGCGCGGGTATGCAGCCTGCTCCGCGCCCCGCCCCGCCTCGGCCGCGCAAGCAGCATTGATTATTTAGTGCCGCCGAGACACGCGCTGCTGGGCGCACAAGCAGCAGCAGCAGCAGCAGCAGCAGCAGCAGCAGCAGCAGCAGCGGGTGTGCCTCCGCCACCAATGTGAGGACGCAATACGTCACAGCAGAGCACTACCACGCGGGGGGTTTCTACTAAAATGATTAATTCATATCGCTTTATGGGCTGTTTTGTTTTTCTGTGTGGTGTGCCATTTTTTCCTGTTTTACAAAAATGAATGCGAAAGTAGTAGGGATTAAGGCTGCTCCGGGAGGTGCCGGGATGGGCGGTGGAGGGTTTGGGGTGGAAGGGTGTCGGGCCCGAGGAGCACGGGCCACGAGGGCGAGATGGGCCGCTGTATTGCATTGCGGGGGGGCTGCTGCACATCCTCGATCCTCGGAGGCTGACCCGGATTGCGAACTGCCCCAATTCTCACACTCCACTGCCCGGGTTAAATTCTCCCCTCCCTCCCCCTCCATATGAGATAGTGGTCTGCGAGGAATTCTGGTAACGGGGGG